TCAGAGTGTTTTAGGCGTCACGGATCCCAATCGCGTCATGTGGATGAGCGGCACGGTCAACAGCGCCGGCTCGCCCACCAATCCCGACGGAAAGGGAGGCAACATCCTATCCAACCGCGCCAGTCCTGGCTGCGACTCTCCCGGAAACAACTGCTTTCCCTTTGTATGGAAGACCATGCCCGAGATTCTGCAGGACGCCGGCGTCTCGTGGCGCGTGTGGCAGGACTTTGATAACTACGAGGACAACATGCTGGCCTACTTCAAGCAGTACCAGGATGCGAAGAACGGTAGCGCCTTGCGCGAACAGGGCATCTCGTTTCCTGGTCTGCAGGCCTTCTACGATGCGTGTGCGAACGGTAGCTTGCCTCAGGTCAGTTGGATTGTCGGCCCCCAGGAGCAAAGCGAGCACCCGCCCAACATGCCCATAGACGGCGCGTGGCTGCACAAGAATATTGTCGATGCCGTCGTCCGTAGCCCCGTATACAACGAAACCGCGCTCATCATCAGCTACGACGAGCAAGGAGGTTGGGCCGACCACGTCATCCCGCCCGTGGCTCCCCCGGATGCCGCCGGCGAATGGATCCCCGACCCCTTCAAACCAAACGATGGGCAGAAGTTACCCATCGGCCCAGGACCTCGGGTTCCTCGATTTATTGTCTCGCCCTGGACACGCGGCGGTCATGTCTTTACCGAGACGGGCGACCATACCTCGGATCTCCTCTTCGTTGAGGCCTGGGCCGTCGCCAACGGATACAACAAGGTCAGTACCAAGGGTATTCTGACACCGTGGCGCCGTCAACACATGACCAACATGGTCAGCGCCTTTGACTTTGATAGCCCGAACTACTCCGTTCCCAAGCTGGCCGCAGTGCGCACCCCCGAGCCACGCAACGATACCAACTGGAGCGGAGACCTCAATCTCGGCTCTCTCACGGGTCCTTGGGTTGGGCCGGCCAAATGCAAAGACGGCTTCGCGCACGGCAACTACCCACCTGTCCCCTACGGCAAGGAAAACGCCGAACAGGACATGGATAAGTTGGTCGAGGACGGCTTCAAGCCAATCCGCGGCGCCATCACAGAGGGCCGCTACGTCACCATCGAAAGCAATGGTTTCGGTCTCACAAGCTGCCACAGAGAGGGTGGCATCGTCATTGCTGTCAAGACGACCGCGTCTCACGAGCGAATCCAGCAGCGATGGATTCTCCACGCCGTCGTCGAGGGTGACCGGTTCGGCAACGCCTTCTACCTCCAGGCCGCTGCTGATGATGACAAGAAGTATATTTCTGCCCACGGTCGCCTTGTTGCGGACATGAGTCGCGCGCAGGCGTTTGTTATTGAGTACCAGGCCAAGGGATCGACTTATACTCTGCGCCGCAGTGACGCGCCTGGCCAGTATGTCAGTTTGAGCAATTACCAAGAGGAGTCGTATGATGAGTCTCGCAGATCTAGCTTGAGGCGTCACACCACGTGTCGTTCTGACGGCAGCATTGTGTGGGATGATGATGAGCCGGGGCTTTTTAAGATGTTTGCCGTCAACTATCGTGGATAGAGAAGTGGATTGGTGATGTGGATGGGCCGTCCTTCTGCGGTTGTGTGTGCCATTGCTGCCTACATAGCAGGAGAGTACATATGTACATACATAAATGGAGCGCCTGTTATTTTTCCGACATACATGTGACATGTGACATGTATGATGTATGATGTATGATGTACAACATAACATACTCCGCACTCCGTAATTAGATTCGCATTACGGCTTTTGATATATGACCTTACGTTATACATACCGTATGCATATATGTACCCTTTAAGATCACTGCGTTCTTTGACTCTCGTTCCACCGCGTCCGCTTTCCCGTACTTTTGGTCAGGGCGGCCTAGGAGGTACCTACCACGGATCTGATACGTAGGTATGTACATATTTGTGCCAAACTTATTATGTACATACACACATACATAGGTGCTCCGTACCGGAGTAAGTCCCGCCTCAAAAGTTAATACATACGTACATACAAGTTACTTCCGTCGCGTCCCTATGCTGCGCTTCGGGGCGAAGGAAAGACGCGCCTCGCTTCGCTTCGGGTTGGGGAGAGTCGGGCTGGAAAAGTGAGGTTTGGGAAGTGGAAGTTTGCGGATGTGTCTCCCTCTGTGGGGATGCAGCACCTGTCTCTCCTGCCCAGGTGTCCCTCCAGGGGTCCTCCGGGGGATGCCTACGGCACTGCTCTGGGGAATTTACGGAGTAGAGCGTCGACTTTTCCTACGGGCCCTTCACAGCATTGTCAGGCAGCGCGGGATGGCGCTGCTGCGATGGCGAGCAATCAGGTTGCAGCGGGCAGGTGTGGGGTTGCGGAAGACTTTGAACAGAACAGTTGAATCGCGGGCAGATAGCGCAGGATGGCGGGCGACTGCGTCGCTGCGGCAATGGATCGCATCGCCTCACGTTGGTGCAAATTGCAATCGCAGACAGAAGAAGTTATGCTGCGTCTGCGTCTGCGTGCTTGGTGTGGGTTATGGGTTTTGCGTATATATTGTCGGTCGCTGTCATTGGTCAGATTCTTATCGCACATTATTAGTAAAGCTGAACTAATTTACGACGAATCTTGAAAAGAAGAGACGTAAAGCGAAGCTTTACATTTACGTCAAGTTCAGGGTAGAGTTTTGGGGGGGAGGAGGAGGAAAAATCCGAGAAGATATGCTTACGTAAGATGGACCTTCTGGGTTTTGGGGGGGAGGAAAAATCCGACAACATATTTGGCGAAAGATATGTGATTGAAAGTAACAGAGTTTGTGACGATGCGAGCGCAGCGAGGACAGCCCGCGGCCGCGCCCCCGGAGGATCGCCGAAGGCAAGGAGGGAAGAAGTCTGAGCAGTGGAAGGGTATGTGACAGGAGGTATGTAGGTGCCCGCACGGAGAGACACCTTCAATTTTGCCTACGTATGTACCTATCTTTGGCGCCATGTATGTACATATTGCGACCGTCAGTGCGGTCACGTGAATCCTCGGCACCAGGACCCTTCAGCTTTAGTTACTACCTAGAGTCCCTTCGGACTTCCCATTTTAGTTAGAGTATCGCTCGGATGAGGCGGCCGTCCGGACACATGCGCCCCGGCTGTTCCGTGTTGCGAAGAAAACCACGACAACGGGCGAGGTGGTGCTCGAGCTGCTTCCTAAATTCCGGAAAAACATGTACATAGTGCTAAAATACGTAACAACGGGTGCAATTCTGTGGCTTTTTCTTTCCTTCCTTATAGTGGGGAGTTCTTCTTCCTTCCAAGATCCTCCCAAGAGACCCGCACTTTAATTAGTCGTAGGGCCTGTCATCTATGTATGTATCAGGATTCAGAGGTTAGGTACTCCGTACTGTATGACATTCGCGTCAAAATGATGGATGAAGAATGAACTCCGGTCGAGCCTTTTGCTCGGACGCAGGAACACCGTCCATCGCGGTCTTTGTCCAAATCGCCTAGAAATCGGGGTTTGGAAGCACGTAGACTGTACGTGCAATCAACTTGAAGGCGTCGTGTAGATCCGGCTTGGCTCTCCAGTGCTCCAACACTTCAAACATACATGGTTCCAGTGCTCCGGAATCCGGATGCACAGAAGAGAGGCAAGGGTGCGCTTCTTGCCAAAACAGCCTAATAAACAGCTAAAACAGCCTGTATACTGGTTACATACTCTGTACAGATTGCTCTATAATTATTACATATCTGTATGCTCTCGATGAACTGTGTGGGCGACGACGGGGCAGAGGGTTTTCTCTGAAGGCAGTTCCGATCATCGCCAGCCTCGTCAAAATTGTCAAAATCGTCATCATCACGTCCTCGTATACTCGTGTGCTGTCAAAGACGTGATGCCATCATGCTTCTCAATAGTGTCGCGACGCGATTCGAATACTCCCGGCCAAGAAATCTGGTCAAGTTCGTGACCACATGGATCATTTTGCTCCTCACCACATACATGCTGTGCCACATGTGGTTCACCCACGCACACAGGACTAAAACGCAGTCCAATGTCTACGCCTTTTACGCCCACAATGACATCTATGCCTGCTCCCTTCTCGTCAACGCCCATATCCTGCGCCACGTCTTCCATACGAGATACCGAATCGTGGCTTTACTCTCCGACGGCGTCTCGACTGCCATGCGCGACCGCCTCGTCGAACGAAACATCACCATCATGAACGATACGCCGCTTCCCCTTCACGAGGGGACCATCCCTTACTACGATGGCTGTCTGTTAAAGCTCTCGGCTTTCAAGCTTCACGAATATGACCCTACCATCCAGCGGGCGCTGGTCCTGGACGCCGACCAACTAATTCTGCAGAATCTCGATGACCTCTTCAATATAAGACCAGCAGTGCAATTCATGGCCCCGACGGCGTACTGGCTGAGTAATCGCACCATCAGCAGCACCTGTATGCTGATCCAGCCTGGTGCCCAGGTATGGGATCGCGTCAAGACCGCCGCCGCCAACATGACGTCGAGTGAATACGACATGGACTTGATGAATCGCCTGTTTGGGGACCCAGACGAAACGCCCGTGCGACTAAACAGCAAGTTCGTGACGCTCAACAGCCATTGGGAAGATTGGAATCTTCCCGCGTGGTTTAACAATGCGACGGAGCATCAAGGTCCCACGTGGTTTGAAGATGCGGAGCGTCAAGCTGCCAAGGACAGGGCAACAAGCCTGGAAATGCACGCCTTGCACAACCAAGCGGCGATTGTGCACTTTACTGCGGTAGGAAAGCCTTGGTCGTTAGCGACCAACGATCTGCGTAAGAGGAAGCCTGATGCGCACCCGCTGTTGGTGCAGCAATGGAGGACGTGGAGATCTCTGGCGATGCAGGAGTGTCCGGCTGGAACGATATCTGGAGTAGTTTACGGATAGTTATGTATGTAGCAAGAAGTCGAAAGTCAGGCAGTTAGTTACATATGTATACATAGCTGAGTCTGGAATAAACATTATATATCGCAATCAGCGGAACACTCACACCACCACAGACCCGTTAGTCTAGGGGTCAGGACGCTGGATTTTGACGACTTTGTACGTCTTCCGGAAACATCAGTTCGAATCTGGTACGGGTCTCTCTTTTTGCCTCCTTTTGAGGGAAAAGTGGGGTCGATGTGGCCAATGGTCCCTGTTTATTAGGCAAAACTGAAGAAATTGTGTGGCGACGCGTAGCGGAGGCGCACATTTCGTGTTTGCCTCTTTATGCTCCATCTTACCAGTTGTTTATGAGGGTACAGAGTATGGTGTGGAGTCTTTCCAGCTTCCTGTCCCTGTCATTGGTCAGATCCTTATCGCACGTTATCGGTCCTTATCACAGTTTTGCCCATTTTTGGCGCGCACTGCCACAGCTTCGCGTCACTGCATTTTAGAGTGTCACGGCCCACGGGGTGCTCCAGACCAAAAGGATAGTCTAACTAGGTATGTAACTACATGTATCGAGAGCTGAGCGAAACCGACGCGAGGGATGCTAGTGTTTGAGTTACTCGAAGCCTCCAGGATGGTGAGAATTCCGGATTTCTGATTGGGTCTGCTCTGTCCCGATCTATTGGTTACATATGTACTTCTCAAGATACCTACCAACCTAATTAGCAGACGAGCCGTCCAAGTATTGAGAATGGTCGACTCAGCTTGTGCCAAGTCAGGATAGTAGTCAAACCTGGCTTCAAGACCATCATCTCGGCTCCGGCAATACCACACGTTGGCCACAGCACCTCTCGACTTGATCCTCACAGGCCTCTTCCATTCGTGGCGAATGCAGCAGTCGACACAAAAATATACAGGAGAGTCGTAACCAAATCTCAGATTGCTAGTCTATTCATATGCTACATTAATGTACATTTCCCTTCTCCACTAGGCAGGGTCTTCCGAGGGCTAATGAGGGCAGAACTACGAGCTGCCAGAGCTGCCAGAACTCACAGGGGTCTGGTCTGGCGGAAGCGGTTTGGTGTCCCATGCCACATACACTGGTTTGCCAGCCTCGTTCTTCTTTTTCATTGCCCGATACTGCTTTCCTTCTTTGGTGTAAATGGGCAATAGGCCCTTGAACATGTGGTACCAGTCTGAGGATCGGCTCTCTGAATCAAGTACATCCTTTCTGCGCTTCTTGATGCTCGCGTAAATCCTCCTGGCACTGTCGTCCGGGAGTTCCGTTACGGTATACTCCACTTGCCATTCATTATTCCTGCTAATGTTCAAGGGCCTGGTCACGAACTCGCTGCCGACTTTATTGCGAATGGTGACGTACATGCCAAGAAGTTCTCTTTGTGGCTCATCGACGTCGCTGTCCTTTGCTGCGGAAGCGGAGTCTTCTTCTTCACCCTCATCGGCCTCATCCGATTCATCAACCTCTGTCATGGCCTGCTCTTTGTCGGCCTCTGTCGTCACCCTATCGATGGTCTCTGTCGTCGCCTGATCGTCAGACATCGAGTCCGACGCGTCCTTGGATTGCACTACCAGATCAGCAACCTTGCGCTCAAACACGCGCATGTTCGGACTTCTCGTTTTTACGCTTTGCGTGACCCTCAGAATTAATGTGGCCAACGAGGACTTTTCCGTGCGAACGCCTTCATCAGCTTCGTCCTTGGAATCGTGAGATGCTCCAAGCTCTTTGGCCTTCGTAGAGTGTGCCGTCAACGCCGAAACAAGATCGTCTACATATTCAAGACGCTCCACTTCGGTCTTGCCTTGCAATAGTCCGCCACGCTCAAGAGCATCCTGCACCGCGTCTCGTATGGAAGCAACGCCCAGCGACTCATCCTCCACCGCTTCGTCCACCATGGACATCATCTCCCTCCATGCATCGTCATCCGAAGCATCTTCATTGACAGACGACGACAACTCGTCCAACTCGTCCGACTCCTCGACGCTCCCAGATTTGTTCATCTGAGCAGCCTCAGCTTCCTGGACGGACTCGGCCTCGCGTTCTTCGACGCTGAGATCTTGAATATCGCGCTCCAATTGCTCGACTGATGGCTTGCCAGCCTCTTGTATCCTCTCCATCTCTTCATCAGTGACCGGCTCGACAAAGAAATACGTAAGAGGCACTTTGGTTGGCCGAGTTTCCGCGTGTAGTCGAAGCGTTCGTCCGGGAAATTTCTGGGTCGCTCGATCGAGGAGGTCGTTCAGCATTTTTATGCTACACATGAATTCCATATCACCTAGTCGAGTGTCATTCGTTCCATGAATGGCTTGATCCATCTCGGCGAGGCTGATGTACTGGAATCCAAAGATGCGCTGAGTGTTATGATATGCGACAAATATGCCATCCATGCGACCCATGCGCACCTGCAGTGAGTACTTGAGGAATGCGGCTCGTATCATGTCGCAGTATTCGCGTTCAAATGACTCCCACTGCCCGAAGCGCTGTCGGATTTCGTACCCAACACCTTTCTCGTATTCCGTTACGTCCATACGTATAGTGACGACAGCTCGCGTCTTTAAGTCAAAGATCCCCGAGCCGGGTAATCGAGGATCGTGGGCATCGAGCTGCGACCGCATCATGAAGTCGCCCAGAGTAGTGTAATGATGCGTCTCCGCGGCCTTCTCCTCGTCTGCAAGTTGGTGCGAGCAGGATCGTCTATACATCTCAAACTCCTCCTTGGGCACAGTAAGCAACTTCTCCATTGATTGACCCATCATACTGAGAACGTTCTCCTTGTCATACTGCTTGTCAGCATCGATGGCGTAAACGCCATCCTGGAAGTGGGCGAATGCTGCCACTGGCCCGCGGCTCAGAGAAGTAAAGTTTTGCGAATCTGGGTTTATAGATTTTGATAAATTATCGAATTTGGGTTTTCTCCAGGCAGAGATGAGAAAGTGGAGATGCGACAGGATAGATGTCATGCTAGATGTCGACCCGCAATATTTGAGCTTATGCTTCGCGCAGAGCTCCCGTAGTCTGGCGTCCTTGGATGATGTAGTGTATCCATTCAAGGCACTGTAGTCAAATTCCTCAACCGGCATGATGGAAGCCAGATAGGGATCGAAGTTGAAGACGCCTGACCGGTGATCCTGCATGTGGTAAACTCCAGGGTTAAACAGGACCCTATCCAAGTCGTATGACAGCGAGGGAGGCACCTGGGTTGTCTCTTCGTCAAGAGCCCGCAACTTTAGCTGGGTAGGACGGATCGTCTTTACTTCCAATACGGTTTTCCTTGGCTTTTGAGGGGCTTTAGGGTTTCTTGAAGATTTTGCGACTTTTGAAGATTTGGTGGCTTTCTTGGTGACTTTCTTAGTTTCGGTAGCTTTTGGGACTTTCGCGGCTTTTAAAGCTTTAGTCTTTCGTCTGTTTTTTTTTGACGCTGAAGAATCGGCCGGGGTGGTGGCATTTTTCTCGGATTCTGGGTCGACTTCGTCCTCCTCGGCGTTCTCTGCTTCATAGTTCCCTTTTCGTGGGTTCTCAGCGGTCAAGGAGGTCTCTATTCGCTCTCGAAGTGTTGTCCATACCGGCCTTGCCTCCTCTCCACCTTGGACATCTTCGGTGCTGTTCTCGGCAGTCCTTGGTTCTGGTGCATCCGTAATTTCGTAGGAGTATTCGAGTGGGTAGACCGACCTGCGATCCTCCTGCTGCTCTTCAGGACTGACATCTCTTTCCTCCGCTTGCGCCTCGAGACTGCTGGTCTTGCTTTTGGTGGAATCTACAAGCCATCTTGTGCTGGAACAGAATGGTTGTCGCGCCTGAATCGGCCGAATGCAGGTTGGCCGCCTGGTTGACTGCAAAGCCCACTTCAGAGGGCTTTTGCGGCAGGGAATTCGTAGCATCTCATATGCCGGGTGCGATGACAGCGTATCTGGTCTGCCAAAGGGAGGCAGGTAGCAAAAGTAAATGTCGTGAAAGAAAAATTTAGACTTTACTCCGTATGTTTAGGATTCGGCGGGGCTACTCTTCCTCGACAATGTTTTGTTGTACGTTTTTTTTTTGAGCATTCATATTGACACAGCATAAATTTAATAATGGCACAGTATTCTCCATAATTCTTGAGCCCCTTTGTACCCCGCCAAATTACAGTGGGAAGTAGATGACCAAACTGTACACATCTCGTATGTATGTCTCAACATCACCACGCCGCCCGAGGCCTCGGCGATTCACCTTAGCTTCTCGACTCGCTCAATTCAATTAATACATTTTCGGTGTTCTGAATGTTCTATCATTGTATCTACCCTTACGTATGTACATCATTCGTGGCCCCGCAGAACACGCCGGCACCTACAGGCTACTAAGTCAATTGCGAAGCAGGGACGACCTCCTCAACTTGCCCGGTCTCGCTGATCATGGTCA